ATTTTATAAATTGTTTTTAAAAATAGGTTAATATAATAAATAAAATAGGTTTCTTTTAAAAGATATTGAATATATTATTCAGTTAATACTTTCTTAAATTTACCAGGTTATTTCCCTGTAATTTACATGAAGCTTAGGAAATTCTCCCTAATATCAAAGCTTAAAAATACAATTATTTTCTTGATGCAACATATGTGTTTTTAGAATTCTTTGAAAAGTCAAATTTCATTGAAAGGAGTTTAACAAATTTTAAAAAAATTGCAGCACTTTGAGGAAGTGTGATTTGTTTTTAAAAATTCGCATGTTTATTTTTAATACTAACAAAATTTGCGTACTGTACTTCGAAATAAATTCACTATTTTTTAGTTAATAAGTAAAGAATAAAAAAAATCGTATATCTTACGAAAAAAATTCAAAGCAGATGCGATGACTAGCAATAAATGTTAGGAGTAAAACAATGACGAAGAGAAATTATTACTATTAACGAGACTAATTAATCAAGGAATTCAGTTTACTAAAATAAAAAAAACATGAAATGTTAACTAACTTTAGTTCATTGCTAAGTAACAGCAAGCCGAGGATAAATAACATAACACCAAACCACAAAATTACCTAATAACAATTCACAACATGTTTATTAACAGGGAATCACGATTGTTTTATCAGCCGTAACAAAATGATTAATCACTTATAGCCACTAATGGTAAGAAGATAATTAACTGCAGTTTTTACGCCACAAAATGTTACTCAGAGCATTAATGAGCAATTACTGTGAGTCCTAGAACTCCAATAAAAAAGAAACACCGCCTCCAAACTTGGTAGCAGAGGTACACTATATTTTAACAACCCACGCTGATTTATCCGAAGCCCATGAGCATGATTTTGCATTCAATTTTAGTATATTTGTGGGTGGTATTGTAGGAAGGAAACTAAATAATATTATTAAAAATTCTTTGTCTGCAAATAACGTTCACGCTGACAAAGGATTCTTTCACATTCCTTGTTCACAACAAGAGGAAGCCATTTTTTTGTTTTTCAAAGCTGGTGAGGTCAAACAAGTAACTTCAGTGTTGGATGAATTTAATTATGCGGATTAAATGCATTACCAGACTTTGCGTTGCACCTAATTTCTTTGTTGATTGAGACCTAGCTTAAAGAATAGCGTCATATTTCTATAAAAGGCACAGGGTGGCTTAATCGCATCAACTACGCCTACATTCCTATCTCACTGAGAATTTTTCCTTCAGTTCATAACAACAATTTATAAACTCAAATTTATGAAAAACTCGTCATGATTTATATGCTAGATATACAATAAAATATGTTAGAAACTTTTTTTTAATTAATTAAAAAGTTTCTAACATCGTTTATTGTATCAGCAAGTGCAGCATCAACAAGCTGCCCTTGTTGAACAACATCGTATCAACAAGTGCAGCATCCTGTTGAAAAAATATCGTTTTGATACCATATAAATTACACGCGTTTGAATTAGATAACTGAAATAAAATTAAATCAAAGTTGGCCGTCAAAAGTATTAGTCACCGATTACTTGCAAAGTGGCAGTCACTTGTGAGCAACATATAGATCATCGGTGTGACGCGGAGAACTGAATTCAGACCACATTTAACTTATAGCGTTGCAAAGTGCAAAGCATTTGAAATGAAAATTACACCCGAGGTACATCGATGACCATCAAGGCTGTTGACCACCGGTGACCTGGATTGATGAGATAAGAGCGTAAGTCACTGCTGTTGAGCAGTGTTATAAATTTAGAAAAAAAAATTAAATTAAAATAAAAAATGAAGCATATCCCTGACTTTAAAGACTTTTGGTCGTCAATGGTTAATGTCACAGGTTAATGTCATTTATTATACATTATAGGTTAATGCCATTTATTATCAATTCATAGGTCACCCTTGACGTATCTTGCAGCATATATAAATATAATTTAAATTAAAATTAAATCGAACAATAATATGTGCCCTTCTAGACTCTTAAACGTGAGAGCCACTTGGGGAGTCAATCTTTAGGTCGTCAGTGGGAGATATGCAGTAAATTTAGATAGATATTTAAATTAAATCCTAGCAAACCAGAACTCAATAAGATTGTGTCTATAGATTAAAGGTCACATGGGTTCAACATATGGATCAAAAGGGAGTGCAATGCGGTAAATTTAGATAAATTTTTATATTGAAATAAAAATAGAATACTGAAGTTTTCATCAAAGCTATTAATGACTCCAGACCTCACTGGAGGTAAGCAATGTGTTCAGGGAGGAAACGTTTCGATAAATTAAAAATACAATTAAATCGAAAGTACACACGTGCCCATTAAAGCAGTTTCTTGCAACCATTGATGTAGGTCAGAGCAGTAAACTTACGAATTAAATAACCCGTTATATAATTAAACTAACCTGTTAAAATTAATGAAATGACACTATTTGTCGTAACTGGAAGATATCGGTGATCTCAAACCGATGATCATCGGTGACCGTCAAGGCCATTAGTCTTTTTAGTTACCAATACTATAGGATACTGCAATGCCCACTACAAATAAAACAACTATTAAGCTACGGCCGGGATACAAATTTCCACGTCTTCATGCATTAGCTAACGATAAAGAAAGTTCTTTTCCAGTAAAGCTCGATTATAATTTATTCCTCGTAATTTCTTCCATGGCGCATTTCTGTCGTAATTAATTTACAAGCTGTTGCGGTATTCGGGAGAAGCCATAGTGTGCGTTTCAAGGAATGGCAGGAAAGTTAACTTAAGTTGACAAAGAACTGCCTTGAAAAATAGATAAACCTTACAAAAGAGATGATGGAAGTGATGGAAAACTTTCTTAGTTTAAGCAGACAGTTTTCAAAGTAAGGAAAATTTAAAGAAAAGGAAAACAGAAAGTTCTATTTGTTTCATTGTTCTGCTATAAGAAAAAACTTGCATCAGCATCAAAAATCAAGATAGAATGTGATTTAACATTTTGGTAAAATTTTGATTTGCTAAAAAGAGTTTTAAGTTCTAATGAGCAAATTACAGTAAGAAAAAGAGAAACGACTTGTTGCCAACAAACTGCATTTGTATTAAAAAATAAGTCTACAAAGCAAAAGAGACAAAATAAATAAATAAATAAAGTCATATACGCATGTCCATTTGACCCATTTTTTAACATTTTACTAAATTAGTGACTTTATTATGTAAAATTTCTCAAATTCGAATGTAAAGCCTAAGAATCAATGTCAAACGAATCTCGAACATTTCAGATTTCTCAAATTATTCAAGTTGGATTAATAAACAGGTGAAAGAAAAGAATTCCTTAATATTAAGCGTTTTTTACTGAAAAAAGTTAAAAATCTGCATTTTATGAAAAATAAATTAAAGAAAACAAATTTTAATACCACATCCATATTTATTAAAAATAAAAAGTAACTTTCGTAAATGAAATATATAATGTATATAATTAAAACTATTGAATTTTGGAGTTCATTTCCTCGATATAATGTGAAAAAAAGTATTTGAATAATGTTTATATTTCTTACAATTTCCCAGAAACTTTCCAAATGAAGGAAAGTGTAGCGGAGCGAGGAATATTTTCAGGAGTTAACATAGATAAATCACTAATACAGAGTACTAAATTCGCTTCATAATATTAAAAGTATAGCAATCAGGATCGCTATAATATGAAACTGATGTCCTAGATTGGCTGAAATAGTATTAATTACGTCATTTTCTTTCTGAAGAACGCTTATGTTTGGATGCCAACAAAACTAATGTCTCCAAAATTCGAAGTTAAACATGTAACGAGTTTTTAAATAAGTTTCCAGAGATTTGACTGACAAAAAAGATCCAAAGATTCGAGCTTTCAAATCCTGAATAATTTTCAAGATTGAAGGATTTAAATGTCCCATTCCTGTGCTCGTCGGTATAAAGGTAAGCAATTCACAAGATAAATAATCTCTGTAATTTTATAAAATTTTAATATGCTCAGGAGAGTTTAAACGAAGAAATTAGAGAATTAAAAAGGTCTTGTTGTAGAAGAACTACGTTTGAAGCAAATTTTAGAAAGTAAAATTTCTAAATTTAGAAAATAAAATTCGAAGTCAATCAGAAAAGCAAAAGAATCATGTAACAGCTTTTTTAAGCCTTTTAAGGAACTCTGGAAAAACATTAATATCTCAGAATTCCAGAATAAACACTGATGACATTTAGATACGCATTAATATATGTTTAGCCAGACGACTGCCATTTTTTTTTAGGAGCTTTGGAATACGTGAGAGCTTCTGTTCAGCAATGCTGATCTTGCTGATATAGATATTATTCGTGAAAATCATACTGGGAAGAATGCTGTGTAATTTAGCACTATTTAATTTAAATACACGAAACGGGAGGAATCCTACGATCACAAGGCACATGTCAACAAAATAATTTAAGAATCGCGAAACCCATTATGAGATAAAATTTTGTATCGGAGAAAAACAATATTACAAAGATAATCTCAGTTTCTTGTATCATAAATAGCAAATATTTTAGAGAGAGAAATGGAAATTTAAAATTTCAGATGTTGTATCTGGGCATGTATCTGGACAATGGCTTTGATTTGAGCACGGGCTTTCAGCTTCTGAGAATGGGTTCAGGTCTGAGAATGGGAATTGCCGGTTCTCTAACCAAAGCTCAGTTAAAGCTACTACAGTAGTTTTAACTGAGCTTGACTGAACCTTAACTGAGAATGATGTTTTGGGATTGTAATATATACCAATTCGATGTCGACTTAATAAGAAAAATCACAAAATTATTATTGATAATTTTCTAAAAACAAGCGCTTGCATTAAATGAGATACAGTTAGGTTCTAGAAATCTGGAAAAAGAGCAAGAAATTACACATTACAGGTGTCGTCGCACCATAAAATTTAGAAAATTCTATGGAAATCACTGCAAAAGAAGAAGTTATATCAAGGTAAACAAAAAAATCTTATAACATTATGAAAATTACTCGATGATACTTACTTGAGCAATGCACTATCCATTGGGTATTTTAACATATACATAATGGCGTTAACAACTCGTTTCAATACAGAACAGATCTCGCAATGAAATTACTAAATATCTAATTAAATCTAAATTACTAAATGAAATAAATTATTTTATGAACTCAAATGATTAATAACAGTAAAACAAACTAACAGCGAAACAGTGATTGATAGAAAATTTAACATAAAATGGAACAAATGCAAATCATGACTGCTTAGTACCCTATCTCACAGATAAAAGGAACATCAATCTGGTTATTATCTTGCTCCTATTGTTTCTTCAAGTGGTTTCTTGTTGTCACTTATTTCAACGCACGTCTTCTGACCCTACTACTGAAAATTGCTATAAATAATTCTAATGAATTCATAAATCTAGATCGTGATCCATGACCTAAGACGTTTCAGATTCTAAATGTGCCTTTTACTTACCTAGAAGATTTGATTTTCATTAACTAAATAAATATTTCATTCGGGGTAAGACATGAATTTCATGGTCCATTTCAAACAGAGCAGCTAAGCGCTAACTCGATTTAAATAAAGAGGAGGAGTGGATAGAGTTATTTGATAACGGCAAAGGCACACTAGGGTTATCAGATAAACAGAAGTTATACTTTCGTTACGGACATAAGACAAATTATGTTATGTTTCCATGCATTCCCGTTGCACACAAGGAATGTCACAAAAATATTATCATGTTGAGCAGTTTTATTATTTGGCTAAGGGTGGCAAGTCAGAAAAGGATCTGGCTAAATTTTAATTTATTTTATAACATTTCAGATAATAATAATTTATAATATTTCAGAAATGATACAAAATAAAAACTAATGATGTAAAATTAATAACTCGAAACTAGAATAGGAAAGATACTTTTCTCACATCTTGATCTGGAAGTGGCAGCAATTTTTTTAAAAGTCGAATGAAACGTGTATTTAATGGAAACCAGTTTGCATATTGTTAACTTTTATCTGATTGGAACAATATTCAGAAGAATGAATTTCACAGAAATTGTTCTAATTTTCCCCCTCACATTTATTTAATATAGTCTACTTTTAAAAGTTCTAATCCTCTAATTGCGAAATTGCCCATATATTGCATAATTTTAATTTTCAAGTTTTTTTCTCTATTAATAAATATGTGGTTTAGACCTTAATAAATTATATACGAGGGCAATCTCCCCCCAAAAAAGGTCTCCTATTTTTTGGCGACGTAGAGAAAGTTTTAATACGGTTGTTGGCAACACTGTTGTGAGTGGTGCATTCTCCGCTACCACATAAGCACGCATGCGCTTCGCTCGGATGATCAGTCTTGGCTTGGTAGCCATTCGAAATGGAGCTCCCCGATAAACGTTACCGCCAAGTGCGAAGTGGGCGCAGTTATTCGATTTTTGAACGCAAAAGGCGTTAAACCGGTTGAAATTCACCGCCTATTGACGGAAGTGTATGGACAGTCGTGCATGGATGTCAAAAACGTTCGCAAGTGGTGTAGAGAGTTTACAGCCGGTCGTACTGAAATTCATGACGAAGAAAGGAGCGGGAGGTCGTCAATTGCCGACGAGACAATCGCGAAAGTTGAGGAACTCATGCGTAAAGATCGGAGGATCACTCTGGATGCTCCCTGCATTTTGGTTCCTGAGGTTTCCAGAAGCACCATCCAGAGGATTTTAACGGAAAAGTTGCAATATCGGAAGTTGTGTGCAAGATGGTGCCACCTGTTCCCTAAGTTAAAGGAACATTTGTCTGGACGTCGGTTTTTGCTCCGATGATGAGGTGAAAGATGAGGTTCAACGCTTCCTGAAGGGCATGACGGCAAGCTGGTATGACATGAGCATTGTAAAACTGTCACAGCGTCTACAAAAATGCATCGACCGAAATGGCGATTATGTTGAAAAATAAAGCATTCTTCAATCTTTAAAGTGATGTAGCAATAATAGAAAATAAACGGTTCTTTGTATATCTAAAAATATAAGAGACCTTTTTTTTGGTATTGGCCTCGTACCAGATTCAAATTATCGAGAAGCTGATAACTTTTCTTGCACACGAAGCTTAACTTGTAGCTCCAATACTCTATTCTACTCGTCAATTTTACGAAAAATATAATTCTTAGTTTTACTGGAGTATAACTGTCAAGACTCCAAGTACAGCCAAACTAGGCTGAACTTAATAAGGAGGTCAAGATATTACTAGTAGAATAAGGTGGTGTATTTAATTATGGCAAAGCACACTAGGGCTATCTGCCTAAGGGGGGATGCCTTTGTGGAGGACTTTCTAAGGAAACTGGCTCGTATACACGTTACAAATGGGGGAAAACCACGAAAACACCCATGCAGCCAGCCCTTTCACGGGATTCGAACCTCGAACCGAACTACCAGTGTTCAGCGACTTTACCGCTCGGCCGCTGGTGGGAAGTAGAATAAGGAATTGCAATGCAGTTTTATGAATAATAAGTAAATTTTTATTTTTAACTTAATTTATGTTTTAAAATTTATAATTCAAATAACTTATATTGCCAAACTGAATAATTACTAATTTATAAATAATTACAAACGGCCAGGCTGAAGTACTGTATTTTCAGAATGGAGGAAGTAACGTGATGAAAAACGAGAAGAACAGAAACGCATTGCAACTAAAATTTAATTGTTTGGAAATTAAAATAAGTATCACACAAATATGTCTGCAAAATTAAGGCAGCTTAGAGGTTATATTAATTATTAAGGGAATTTGCAGCAATTAATATAATCAAAAATAATTAAAGCATTTATATAAAGCATTAGGAGTACCACCAAACAATTGAGGCTGCTAACTGCACTGACAATATAAACGCTCATAGCGAAATCATCCCAGCTTGTCGTCCGCATTACGTTACGCTACCAGAGTATTTATCATTCACGGGAATTGGCTAAACATTGCCATAGCACAAGACATAAAGTCTTTCATTTATCTAACGCCATCTGGAAAATAGCAGATTTTAAGGCGATAGGCATTTTACAAAGTGTAAGATTAATGTGCGATACGTTATGTTTAAATTTTAATTCTACTTGCTTAACAAAAATGATATAAAAGTAATAAATAAACTTCTTTATAATTCATATCTTGATTTTTATAACTGATATAATTTATGATACTTTTAACTGGTAGAACGTTTAAGATATCGAGATGAAAATATTAGGCACATTTGCAGAGTTAATCTAAGAAAAAGTGTTTGTAAAGCTTATATATTAAATACATACGGGCAGGACAATCATTTGAATTTTTTTAATACATCGTGTATATATATGCATAATCGCAATGTGGTCTTTGGGGGCTTCTGATTATTATCACAAGTTTTCTGTATTTATATCAAAACTGTTACCGTTCGCACACGTAAATCTCTTTAATAAATTACTATAAAATCACTTATGCGAACTTATTAATTAGCTGTACGTATGCGATCTATTTCATTCTTTTCTGCTGAAGTAATTCACTTTTGGTGACTCAAGTCCTGAATCTTAAGGTACCAGGCATCACAGTAATTGCTATTCAGACATTGTCTCAGCATTTAAAGTTCCACTGCGCTGCTGACACGAGAACAGGTATAAGAGTGTCTAAGAACTGAAAAGGGAATAATGACAGACTCAAAAGCAAAAAGTGTTACCGGAGTTTTCATAACGATAAAAATGCAAATAAGAAAGTGAACATTTTCCTTCAAGCAAAAAAATGAAATGATCAGTTTTAGCTACCAGCTAGAAATACCATCTGGTATAAATCTAATAACAAATGCGGAAATTAAAAAGAGAACTTGGATCGTTCTTTTGCTTTGCCTTCTTTGATTTGCTTTTGTGCATTTGAAAATAAGCATATATTGCGCCAAAAGATATGAAAAATATAAACGCTAGTTAACATTATTTGTCAGTTGACTTCATTGGTTTCTAAAATTATCTTACATATATAAACATATGTAAAGATAATTAATCTACTTATTTCCTTATAAAATAAGCGAGAGGCAAAATTAATTATCAGTATCGAATCGCATTTCTTTAGTCCGCTTCCAAAATACAAATAATGGCATGTCATCATCAGAAAGTCTGGCAAGTGTATCACACGACGTATCTTCGCAGATTTCTGAATTTCGGAGCTTAAATTATCAAACAGTTTTATTTCAGTAATGAGAAGTAAAGCATTTGGAAAAACATTAAGATGAAGTGCTGTTTAAGATTAATATGAAGCTGTTTAGAAGCAAGATAGACAATCATGGAAAAAACAAAAGAATTAAATGTTACCGAACAGATAGTTACCGAACAGATATCTTCTAGGAATAATTTAGATTCTAAAACTGTTGTTAAAAAGCTGAAGCCAATAAAGTGGTAAAAAACGCATATCTGCTTCTCAAACTCGGTTTCTTTTCGGAATCGCAAACTCGATTTTTATCAACAACTGTAAGCTCAGTTTCTATCAGCAACCGCTCATATACAACAGAACTGCTAAGTCTCAAACAGCTGACTCGAGCTTATAGTTGCCATTGGCTCTCTTTATCTCAAAGAGCCTTTACGCTGAAGCGACTTGTATGGGTTTCACCGACCTCATAATAAAATATCTGATGTGGTCACAACATGACTTCCTTGTAAGGACACAACATAACTTGTGTCCTTACAAGGAAGTCATGTTGTGTAAATTATGTGTCCTATTAAATTATGTGTATTACTTGGTGCACTTCATTTAAACATATTTATGCGAATTTCGTTAGAGATAAATTTTTCATTCAATCAATTCAGTTCTCACTTCGCAGCAAGGGAAAAACAAGTAAAAACTCAAAGCATTTTCATTAAAAATTGTCAAACACAGAAAAACCTAAAACAGGAAATACAGTTAAAACATACGTATTTTTTTGCGAATAAAAGTAGCGTTTCTGCGGGAAAACAAGGAATTCGGCCAGCGGGCAAGAAGTTAAAATTTTCGGCGCGCAAAACTGAAAGTTACCTTTTGATCTCATTGGGTATAAAGACAATGAGGTTGATGCAACTACTGACATAATTCATTATTCTACTAGGAGTTCCAAATGTAAACAAATGGCGGCTTCGTTAACTTTAACTCGTCACTTAAAACATTTTAGTTGTTGATATTGCATGCTGATTAACTAAATGCATGAAAACCTTAACCGAAACATAAGAACAACATAATTCAATCACTTTTAA